AGCTATTAAGTTCCCAACAACCTATGCTTTGCTGGGAATGCAACCTCATTTCTCTCCGTGTACTCCCTCTCCCTCCGAAGAGCAATAGTTTTTGTTCCTAAAAATGCGCGACCGTATTTAGGTGTCCCCAAAAAGAAGGTTTCCAGTGCGTAGTTCCCTATCCGATGACGGTGGCCCGCTCGACCTCGCCCGACCTCGACCGTCCCTGCAGCGCTCGTGGGCCGCCGGCTCGGCACGGCTGTCAGGCGGGTTAGCCTACCCAGCGCGTTGCAGGCGCCGTGGTTCATCCAACAGAGAAAGAGCAGTGAGTACAACACAATACGACTTTCATACTTTTGTTCAGAAAACTGTGGCATTTGAGGACAAAATTGACCCAAAGGACAGCCATTAAACGCTCCTGCGACCCCGAGCCTAGCCAAGCGTAACCCTTTCCGCCAGCCCTCGTCTGATGCGTGGCAAGAGGGCGATAAAACAGATAAGAGTGTCTCCAAGAAGGTGTCACTGCCCATCGACACTTGCCAGTATGTTTGGGTTGTTCAAGAAACAGCCCCACTCTCGCTCTGCACAGTTCTTGACAAGACAAGCTCTGGGATGGATACATCCGGGGAAGTTCTAATGATTCACTCCAAGAGAGTCCGACACGACCTCAATCAAACGGGATTTAAATATCACACATCAGCAGCGGTTTCCAGGAATCGGGTGACGCCTTGCGCACAATCTTAGTGGAAATAGCAGGGGGAATTTAAAAAAGCGTAGGAGTGGGGAGGCGGGGATTTGCATAGGCACAGAAGAGGAGAGGGGGGGGGGGGTATCGCCGGCCGCTGAGGCTGACCTGACCTATCCAACTTTCCTCCCCACTCCTCAGCTTGCTTAGCAACTAGCGACGCACGTGTACAGTACAGTACACGCGTGTTTGGACACAATTAATCTCTCATTTATTTCCGAGAACGGGAATCGCTTCACATTTTTAAGAAGGGTGAAACGTAGCCTATGGTAAGTATTAACGTTTCATTCATTCACATCGAGCGTAACCTGGGTGATATTTTGCTCGTCCAGTTTAAATGGCGAGCTTTCATCTGTGGCACATCCTCCTACTTTTAATAAATTTGATTTATTTGGACCATATTTGGACCAATTTGGACGCAGGTTGGCTGTTTGGTGCATAATGTTTACCGGCGTTATGTGCACGACAGTTCCCCGTGGTTGTGGCTACGCGGTTCTTTGCAGACGATTCGTTTCCTTCGGCTTTAAAATATGTTATTCTCAATATTTGTGAAAGAACATTTCATATTATGGGTACACTTTGACTAACCCTTAGTTTTTCTGTCACTGCCAGCCTAGAGGTAGGATGAAATCCAATATGAAAAGTGCTAGTCGTTGAAAGCAGTAGGAAGGATGGGTTATGGCGCGCAGCTCAAAATTAGTAAACAGTGAAACGGTGCAGCACGAGTTAGATAAAGGTCAGTGACAAGGATCTTAAAATGTATCTTAAATAATTTCTGTATATTTACCTCTCTTTTTCGTTCCTATCAGCGGAAATCAAAGGACCAGATGCAATCCTGCAGCTCTCAGACTATGGCCTCTTGCGCGTTGGATCATTAGGCCCTGTGGAAATTAACTGGTTGTCAAATAATGCTGCAGCAAGTCTCCTGAAGCCAGGGTTCATTACTGCCCTCGAATTTGAGAAGCAGGAGGACAACTGGAGACGCGTTTCAACAGGTTGTCATGTTATAGACAAGGTGCTTGGCGGAGGTTTCCCAGTTCGAGGAATAACTGAATTGTCTGGGGAAAGTAGCTGTGGAAAGACACAGTTATGTCTTCAGCTTTGCTTGAGTGTTCAATATCCCATATCCCAAGGTGGTTTGGATGCTGGTAACGAAAAAAAATATGGTCCTGATAACAACTTT